GCTAAGGTGCTGCAGCTCAGGACTCCTGGGTTCTACCAGCTCTGGGATGGGAGCAGGGTCTGGGGTCAGAGCAGGGGGCTGGGGGGCAGGACTCCTGGGTTCAATTCCCAGCTCTGATGTCAACCTCCCCGTGTCTCCTTGAGTGAGGCATTTAACCCCTCTCTGGCTCTGTGTGATGGGGATGGGGAGGGCTCCCTGCCCTGCAATGCAATGGGGTGAGCCCCCTGCCCCTGCTGCCCCCCAGCTTCCCGGCCAGGCATGCAGGCACGTCGGTCGCTGCTACGTGGGGAGTCTCCCTGTGCCCTTGGGGATGGGGGGGCTGCTTGTGCCCCTGATCAGATCCAGGGCCCCGCCCGCCAGTGGGGAATGGGTTTACTCAGGGAGGAATCTGGAGTGACTCCTGCTCCGCTGGGGACGATTGAGGGGAAGAGCAGAACCAGACCAGCCCTGAGGTCCCAGCGAGGGCCGCGCCTACCTCCAGCTCGTAGAAGGCCATGAGCACGGCGAAGCTGGTCAGGTGGTTGCACTGGCAGCGGGTGATGGTGGCGTTCAACTTCTGCAGGGTGCAGCCATTGGTGGCCCAGCACTTGCTGTCAGGCTTCCAGTAGGCACAGAGGAGGCGCAGGTCGGTCTTGTTCTCCTGGGGACAGAGAGACGCTTGGGGCATGGGGGGCAGGAGCGGGGTGGGGGGCTGGCTGGGGCCGCACAGGGGGCAGGACTCCCCAGGCCCCGAGAGTGCAGGTCGGGGGGGTACGAGGGGCTGGGCTGGGGGCACAGAACATCAGTTTGTCCCTGTGCGGGAGGCGGATTCGCCTGCTGCCCGGGGTGGGGGGTGTTACTAGAGATGGGCCCAGGCTCTGCCCCCCAGCGCCCCAGGCTCTCCTCCCCCCATGCCCAGCCCAGGGGCTCACCGGCACCGGGTGGCTGAAGCGGATGCTGACAGAGAGGCCGAGTGCCTGGGGGTCCGGGTCACTGATGAAGGCCGACACCACCGGAGACAGCACACGGTAGCTGGGCCGCCCTGGCTCCTGCGCCCCCTTCCCCGTCTGGCCGATCTTGTCCCACTCGGGCGCCTCCACCAGCCCAGCACCGTCCAGGATGGGGCTCATCCCCTGGTATGTCAGCAGCCCGGCCAGTGTGAAGCCTGCGAGAGACAGAGGAGATGGATGAAATGGGGGGCAGGAGGGGCCCAGGGGCAGACTGGTGCCAGGGGTGCTGTGCTGCTGGGGATGCTGCCCCCAATGCCCTGGCCACGCCCCGTCCCCCTACACACCCCAGCCTGGCACCAAGGGGCGCTGTGCTGCTGCTCCCAATGCCCTGCCCATGCCCATCGCTATACACACCCCAGCACAGGGGATGACCACATACCGTCTTTCTGCCCTGGGGCTCCAGCCCAGTTTAATTCCATCTGCGTCTTGCTCTGCTGCAGTGTCACGGTCTCCTGGCTCTGGTTCCCAGCCTGCCTGACGGCCAGCCCCAGCTCTGCAACCACAATACCAGCCAGGGCTCACATCAGAGACATGGAGAGGAAGTCTGTAGCCAGGCAAGGTGCTTTCCTGGCTGTGGGGGGAGCTCCCAGCTACTCCAGTCCCGGCCTCTCCCAGCAGGGGGCGCTGTGGGGAGCCGGGTGGGAGCACTGGCTGTGGGGGGTGTCACAGAGTCCCCGGGCGATGCTCTGGAACTGCTCCCCACAAAGCTAGTCAGGACTTTGGGGAGCCTCCTCTCCCATGGAGCAGACTGTCTTCAGGGCAAGAAGCTCACACGGCTTCACCTCCTGGGTCTGCCCTTGGAGCATTCAGCATATGCCCCTCCGTGCGCTTCCCACAGCGAGTCCGCCCAGGCGGGGTCCTGGGGAAGCCAGAAGTCCTGTACGCACCCCCACTTCGCAGTCAGCCGTGACTCTCAGCCAGCCAGTAAAACAGAGGTTTATTAGATGACAGGAACACGGTCTAAAACAGAGCTTGTAGGTCCAGAGAACCGGATCCCTCAGCCGGGTCCATTCTGGGGTCCCGCGAGCCAGACACCCACATCTGCCCTCACTCCCCATCCCCAGCCAGCTCCCAACTGAAACCCCCTCCAGCCCCTCCTCCTCTGCTTTGTTCCTTTCCCGGGCCAGGTCATCTGACCTCTTTGTTCTCCCACACCTTTAGCATCCCCTTGCAGGGGGGAAGGGCCTGGCCATTAGTTGCAAGGCGACAGAGGTCAGTCAGAAACTGAGGCACCCACACAGTATTCAGAGGAAACATTAAGAACAGTCCCACTTTGTCACAGGGGGGAGTTCCCGTCTCCCAGCAGGGGGCACTGTGGGGACTGGGTTGGGAGCACTGGCTGTGGGGGGAGAGGTCCTGTCTCCCAGCAGGGGGCACTGTGGGGAGTGGGGCGGGAGCATAGGCTGCGGGTGATGAAAGCCCAACTGGGGCCAGGTGCTGACCTGTGCCGTTGGGGGATGCGATGCTGATCGTGCTGTCAGGCAGGGTCAGGGCCAGTGTCTTCAGCAGCTTCTCCACTATGGCCATCAGCTCCGTCGCGATCTGGTGTCTCCACTTCACGCTCTCGCTCTGCTGCCCGACCAGATTTATCTGCTTCTCCAGAATGTCCAAGAAGCCCTGGCCAAGCAAACGTGGGGGGTGTTGGTGTCACAGTGCCTGAGCCCCTGCCATGCCCCCCATTCCTAGATTGCTAGTCTTCCGCTGCCTTCCCACAATCCCCCTGAAAGGAAAGACAAGTTCTCCTGCAATTCACATCGCTGTTGGGAGGTCAGACTAGATGATCACAATGATCCTGTGTAGCCTAGGAACCTAGGAGAGCAGCTTCTTGGGCACAGAGCCCACTGGAGAGGCAGGCATGGGAATTTTTGGGCAGTGCTGCTGTTTATTTATCTCCTGTTCCAGGCACTGCATCCCTATAGATCGCCCTGAGACTAGATCCAAGTAGGAGCAGCGATTCCTCCCCCTAACGGGAACAAACCCAGCAAGGCCCCGAATTTTGGCTTGGCACCTGCAGCTGCCCCATCACAGACTCAGCGCTCTGAGCCTTCATCTGCTTCAGCTCCTCCAGCGCCGCCTTGCAGAGACGTCCCACCTGTGCCTGGAAGCTGCCCAGAAAGTTCTGCAAAACAAGGCCCAGGCCTGGCTCAGGAAAAGAGATCACAGACTCGCAGCCCACCTCCCCCCGTCCCGAGAGGCTCCCTCGGCTCAGAAGCCAGGCGCCAGAGGGAGCGCGGGCAATGCCCCGTCTGGCCCCTAGGGGGGTGCACGGCGTTTGCAAGGGATGGTGCGGGAAGGCGGTTGCAAGCTGAAGCATGTTGCAGCAGCCTAATGCTGCTGATCCTGGAGGGTGAGAATCACCCCTGGGGCAAAGGCCTAGGCCGTGGCTGGACTGCAGGGGCTCCAGGGACTGGCCACTGGCTCTTTGCCCAGGGGCGAGTTTGGCCCCAGAATCCTCGTGGGGCGAGATCAGTGAAAAGCAACGTGGCACTAAAGGGGAATCGGGGTTTATCCCCCCCCCCCCACGGGGTCTGTGCCCCACTCACCTTGGCTTCGGCAGAGTTGTCATCATCCGGCAGCGGGGGGCAGGTGAGCTCTGGGGATGGAAAGGGAGGAGGAGTGAGAGATGGGGCGGGGGAAATGTGGGGTCTGGCTGGGTAGGTGCATGCACCAGAGCCAGGCACAGAGAGCAGGACTCATTCCCTCCAGCAGGGGGCAGCAGGGACACACCCAGCCCATGTCAGTGATATGGGTGTAATAGATCCTCTCCCAGCAGCGGGAGCAGTGACTCCCCCCCACACACACTCAGCCCCACACGTGCCCAGCCCCTTTTCCCCATCCTCTGCCCACAAGCTGGTCTCTGTGAAAGGAACCGTCCCCCCTCCCCGTCCTAGGGGGACTGAGCCGCAGTGGGGTGGGGCGGGGGCTGTGGAATCATCCCAGCCGTATCTCCCCTCAACCCTCTATCCCAGCTGTGCGTGGTTCTGGTGTGTGTTGGGGGTGGGGGGGTGAATCCAGCAGGGAGCCCGGGCTGGCCCCACAGTGACCTCTAGTGGCCACTAGGCACAGACTGGGCCCCCTGCTTCCATCTTCCCAGGGCAGAGAATCCAGCCGTGCAGCAGAAATACAGGCACTGCTGGGGTGGGGGAGATGCCCGGCCCCTGGCAGCCCTGCTCACCCCTCCCCAGCCTGGTCCCTGCTCCACTCCCAGAGCCAGACATGGGCACGCTGGTGGCTGTGGCTCTGAGACAACCGGAAACACCCCAGTAGACGGACAGGCTGGGCTGGGGGGAGGTGAGAGCCTGGAGGCTGAGCCCTCCCTGGCCAGGGCTGAGACCCAAAGGGACCTCGTCCATGGGGGGCAGGGGGGCTGATGCACCGTCCCAGACCAGTTCCCAGTTCACTGCTCCCTCGGGCAGGACCCCAGGCCTTGCCAAGACCCCCCAGGTGTCCCCTCCATGCCCCCCGCGGCAGGACCCACCTTGGCACAGGGTCCTGTTCCTGTTGGAGGGGACATAGCCGGCCCGGCACTCACACCAGTAGCTTCCGTAGGTGTTGACACACTTGTCATTGGGGCTGCAGATATCTGCGGTCTTGTTGCACTCGTCAATGTCTGAGAGGGGAAAGCGGGGGGGGGGTCACACACAGCACGGCTAGGGGTTCACAGGGGGTGAATGACTATGGAGGCATCCCCCACCGATTGCAGGGGGCATGGTCTGTCGGTCGGTCTCTCTCCTCCATCTAACCCCCTCCCATTCTATTCTCCTTTCTTCCCTGCTATTTGCAGTGCCCCAATCCCTGCAGTGCAACTCCTCCCCCACCCCCCAGATCGGGGGGTCCAACCTTTTCCAGACCAGAACCCTGCGATCCCCTCCCTGCACCAGCCCTGACAGAGCAGGGTTAAGTCGGGGGCCCGATCAGCCAGTTAAGCTGCAAAGGGGAAGTGACTTAGGCTGCCTGGGAGGGGACAGGTGGGGCTTCTATACAGCCCGAGGGCTGGCCCCAGTGGTGGGGGCCTGAGGCAGGGGGAGCTAGGAAGCCCCGAGTGGGGCTAGGGAGCCGTGAGAGGGGCTAGGAGCCCCAGAAGAAGGGTTTCGCTAGCAGGCATAAGAGAGAGGGGTCTGACTTTGAAAGGCTCCCCCAGAATGGGGATCACAGTGTGACCTGGCCGGACGGCCGAGACACGGGGCAGCCGCGACTCCGGGAGCTGCAATGGTGGAAGAGAAGAAAGGGGGCGCTGAACTGGAGCTAGTCGCCAGAAGGGCAGCGTTACAGACCCGTTCGGGATACACCCAGCCCCGCCCCTCCCATGGAGCACTAGGAGAAGGGTGGGTGGGCTGCGCCCAGGGGAGTGCAGGGGAATTGGGTGCTCTCCCTTTAATCTAGTTTCTTTGCTCTCTGGTGGCTCACGGGGGTCTGTGGCAGAAGCCTGCAGACCCCCACATGCGGCCAGGCCCTGCACGGCTGGTAAACGGGTTGTTTGGAATCCAGCTGGATCCAGGGGATCCCCCTATTCCTAACACTGCACAGTGAGCAGCGGCCCCACAACGTCCATTCCCGGACCCTGCTGTGACCCCCAGGCCCAGGGCCCCGCGGGGCGAATCCACTGAGCCCAGAGACGGATGATGCCAGCTCGACACTCGCTGCCGATCCGGACTGTGGAAGCCGAAGCCGGAAGAGACCCGCCCAGCCTGACCCCCAGCATAGCCCCAGCCGGAGTCGCCAGCCAGCGGTACATGAATCCGGCCCCAAACGGAGCGGACTTTACGGCCCTCGCTGCCTCCTGGGGCCTTTCACCACTGTGGAGAGTCTGATCTGACAGACGGGCCCCGCCCTGCCCCGGCACAGAGAGCCCTGCCGTGATCTAGCCAAACACTGGAGGGCCGTGCACCCGCCAGGCTGCCAACGCGGGTAGCGCCAGCTGCCGGGCAAGGGGGGATACACGGGGGATGTCGGGGCTCCATGGTGCAGCGGGGTCACTCACCCCGTGCAGGGAGTGGGGTTTTCTACCTAGGCACCCGACCTGTACGTGCAGAGACGCACTCATTCCGGCCAGCCAGCCCCTGAGGAGCCTGCAGTCCTGTCTGGGGCAATGAGAGCTGGAGAAGCAGAGCTGGGACGAAAACCCCTTGAAGTCAGTGGTGCTGCACCAATTTACACCACAGGGGCTCTGGCCCCCGCTTTGTGACCATTTCACATACAGCAGCACTGAGTTGGTGGCGACGCATGGGGGATGGGCGCATCATCAGTCATTCCCGCGGGTTGGGGGAAGCGGTTGAGCCGTTGCGGAAATGGCCATGACCGATTCTCCTGGAAATCCCAGCCAGGAACGAGTGCTGGAATTCGACATTTGCCTGCTTATTAACCCAACATTTCAGTCGTCCAATCAGGAAGCAGAGAAAGACCATGGGACTCAGGTAACCAATTGTACAACATCAGTGACAAGTTTTTGGAGCAAACAGTTTGCCAATAAAATCACAGACATTTATCCACTCAAACAGTCGAAGGGTCGGCTGGTGAACGAGGAGGCTTGGATCAGCATGCAGAGCTGTTCTGCTGACTCCCCTGGCGTTCAGAACTGCAGTGGCCTATCAGTCACCATCCCTGGGGACAGATGGGTGACGATCCTTCCTGAGGACTTAGGGGCAGGGCCACAGAAGAAAGCTAAGCTCTCCCCGATATTTATCCATAACGCTTTTGCTTCACACAGACATCCTTGTGGCTAAAATCCCCTTTGCCTGGACATCAGCAAACAAGTCAATCAGCGGGGAGAGTCATGAGCACTCACGGATCCTTCCCCTGGGCCGTGCTCCAGCAGCTCTTTCTCAGACTCTTCTCTCTTTGCCATGACAGCGTTTTGCTATTTCCCGCTACGCCCCTTCCCCGGGTCGTTATTTGCATAAAGGCAGCACCCAGAGCGCTGCACACACACTGCCATAAAGAGCTTCTAGTCTAAATAGACAAGAGGTGGGAGAGAAAACTGAGGCAGGGAAGTGCCCAAGGACACCCAGCAGTGACAGAGCTGGGAATAGAACCCAAGTCTCCTGAGTCCCAGTCTCATACCCAACCCACTAGACCTGTCGCTTTCAGCTTGTTTCTTCCACAGAAGGCCAAGAATGTGTCTCCCCTGCCTCACCAGGCAGATTTTACCCTCTGCTCCCCGTCACTGAGAGGAGCTTTGTGTCTCCTGGCTCACGTCCAGGAGTGCACCAGGGCTGGAAAAAATCCCTTGTTCCTTTGGCAGGAAACTCAACTTTTTGCTCCATTGTTAAACCTCTTGGAAGGCAACGGGCCTACGCCATGCCTGGGAGGGGGCTTGTATGGGCCAGCCTCTAGCGAAGCCCGCTGAGCCACGGAACAAGTAGAGAGCAAGTTTGTCCTGGTCTAGTGGCTGGTTCCCATAAGTAGATAACAGCCTGCTACAATGACTAGCTAACTGGTTCTTTTGTGATGCCAGCTCCTTCCCCAGCCTTAGCAGTTGCTGAGGGTTCGGTTAATGGGGTTCCAGAAACTAA